GTACAAGTGTGCAGTATTTGTATATGTATATGTACTTGCATGAACGCCTATGGCTTTGTTTTAGTTCGAGCGCGTTACTGGGTGTGTCTTCCGCATGCATGTTTTTGCTGTATATCTAGCAAACAATATAGGTATTTGAAAACATTGTATAACATCGTGCTTACACGTTTTTCTCTCAGCTAAAATGTATATGAAAAGAGGAATGTTTTGTGTAATTTAACGTTTGCAAAACAGGAAAAAAAGAAAAGAAAAGAAAAAATACATATATATACTTTATATATATATACACATATATATACTTATATATATATATATATATATATATATATATATATATATATATATATATATATATATATATATATATACATGTAGACATGCATACATGCATTATATGCATGTATGCATATATATATATATATATATATATATATATATATATATATATATATATATATATATATATATATATATATATATATACATGTAGACATGTAGACATGCATACATGCATTATATGCATGTATATATATATATATATATATATATATATATATATATATATATATATATATATATATATATATATATATATATATACATGTAGACATGCATACATGCATTATATGTATACATATAGATATATGTTATGTATATGTATATATATATATATATATATATATATATATATATATATATATATATATATATATATATATATATATACATATATATATATGTATACATATATATTTATACATACACACACACACACACACATATATATATATATATATATATATATATATATATATATATATATATATATATATATATACATTTATATATATATATATATATATATATATATATATATATATATATATATATATATATATATATATATATATATATATATATATATATATATATATATATATATATATATATATTTATATATATATATTATATATATATATATATATATATATATATATATATATATACATATATATATATATATATATATATATATATATATATATATATATATATATATATATATATATATATATATATGTATATATATATATATACACATATGTATAAATAAATAAATATATATATTTATATATATATATATATATATATATATATATATATATATATATATATATATATATATATGTGTGTGTGTGTGTGTGTGTGTGTGTGTGTGTGTGTGTGTGTGTGTGTGTGTGTGTGTGTGTGTATATACATGTAGACATACATTATATATATTCATATGAATATACGTTATGTATACATATATATATGTATATATATATGTATATGTATGTATGTATATATACACATATATATAATATGTATATAAATATATATGTATGTATGTGTAAATGTGCGTATATATATATTCATATATACATATACATATATACACATATATAATATGCGTATGTGTGTGTATATGTATGTATGTATACATATACATGTGTGTACGCACAGATGACCTTGTACAAGTGTGCAGTATTTGTATATGTATATGTACTTGCATGAACGCCTGTGGCTTTGTTTTAGTTCGAGCGCGTTACTGGGTGTGTCTTCCGCATGCATGTTTTTGCTGTATATCTAGCAAACAATATAGGTATTTGAAAACATTGTATAACATCGTGCTTACACGTTTTTCTCTCAGCTAAAATGTATATGAAAAGAGGAATGTTTTGTGTAATTTAACGTTTGCAAAACAGGAAAAAAAATACATATATATACTTTATATATATATACACATATATACTTTTTATATATATATACTTTATATATATATACATATATATATATATATATATATATATATATATATATATATATATATATATATATGTATTATATATATATATATATATATATATATATATATATATATATATGTATTATATATATATATATATATATATATATATATATATATATATATATATATATATATATATAGTACACACATATATAAATATATGTTTATGTATATATAAATACATATATACATATATGTATATATGTATATATATATATATATATATATATATATATATATATATTTTTTTTTTTATATAATCTTGTGTAGATCATTTAGTTAAACAGCACCGCCGCTATGGAGAGAGAAGCATTTAAGTAGGCCATGCAATTCTAATCTGTATTAGTGGGGTTAGTATGTGATCTAAAGATCTGGAGTACAACCTATCCAAGGCTGATTCACTTAATGGTAGAAGGCTGGTATAAGGCCTTCATCGGAAATGAAAATGGATCCTGAAGTAGTGCCTGTGGGTTGTGATAATGAAGTAAGTTATGATAATGATGTAAGTTGTGAGTGCCATGTTGTGATGCCATACTTACGGACTATGATGCCAGTTTTATCGTACGTATATTGTGATAATTATGTTATTATATTATACACGCTTTTGTGTGATATGTTACACCATGTTAAATACTAAAGGTTATGTTT